CTTGGAGTGGGTGTGGAACTGGGGACTCCCCACCCACCTCCCGGGTGTCTGTAGGGAGGACTTTTGAACCTGGAACCATCCTCCGCTGGCCAGCGCTCCCCTACATTGAATGTTGGCTTAGCTGGGGGCCGACAGGTTCTATCTGCTTTTGGGTGTGCATCTTGAGAAGTCTTTGGGTAGAGAGAGATGGACAGAGTATTCCAGGGACCTGGCCCGTGGGGCTATGTAGTTACCATTTTTCAGCCCCAAGGGCATATGAAATGGGCACATCCAATCTGCCTCGCCAGTCTAAGGGATTAAGGAACAGTATGCCAAGTGCGGGGGGTGGGGTGGGGGCAGGGCACGAACACAGTGTCAAGTGGTGTGGCTCCTTGCTGTTGCGGTGCTCCACTGGGCTGACCCTCCTCTTTTTCCCAGCCCCTGCTAGCGCCATCCAGGTGACGGTGTCTGACCCCTACCACGTAGTGATCCTGTTCCAGCCTGTGACGCTACCCTGCACCTATCAGATGAGCAACTCGCTCACATCCCCCATCGTGATTTGGAAGTACAAGTCCTTCTGCCGAGACCGAGTTGCCGATGCCTTCTCTCCTGCCAGCGTGGAGAACCAGATAAATGCCCAGCTGGCAGCCGGCAACCCTGGCTACAACCCCTATGTGGAGTGCCAGGACAGTGTGCGCACCGTCAGGGTGGTGGCCACCAAGCAGGGCAATGCTGTGACCCTGGGAGACTACTATCAGGGCCGGAGGATCACCATCACAGGAAGTATGTCGGGCAAGGCGGGAGGAGCCTGGCTGGGTGGTGGGGGTGAGAGTGTTTGAGTGTCTCAGTGGACTAATAAAGGGAGGGATCCTTTCGTCTATCCACCTATCCGCCCACTCATCCATTCAGTTCCTCCACCTATCTATTCATTCACCTCGCAGACATCCATCTGCCCACTGTCACCTATCATCGTCTGTCATTCATCCCATTATCCTACAATACAGCCCCTGCCATATACGAGGCTCTGAGAACACAGAAATAAAACCATTAAGCCACTCTCCTATCCCACTCACAGTGCTGTAAG